GCATTTCTTATCATAAAATGCTAATGCAATCAATAACAAAGCCGAATCCAACATATTATTTTGATGGTATAATAAGTGGTTCTTATTTAATCAGTTGCACTAGACCATAGGAATAGCTTTAAGCACATTTGTATTCTTAAAAGTGCCTGTTCGTGGAATTTAGAGAGTTTAATAGGGATCTTAGAAGGGGAGAAATTACAAGTTAACAGAAACTTAAGCCCTCCCACTTTATTATATATATATATATATATATATATATATATATATACACTCACCGGCCACTTTATTAGGTACACCTGTCCAACTGCTCGTTAACACTTAATTTCTAAGCAGCCAATCACATGGCGGCAACTCAGTGCATTTAGGCATGTAGACATGGTCAAGACAATCTCCTGCAGTTCAAACCGAGCATCAGTATGGGGGAAGAAAGGTGATTTGAGTGACTTTGAACGTGGCATGATTGTTGGTGCCAGAAGGGCTGGTCTGAGTATTTCAGAAACTGCTAATCTACTGGGATTTTCACGCACAACCATCTCTAGGGTTTACAGAGAATGGTCCGAAAAAGAAAAAACATCCAGTGAGCGGCAGTTCTGTGGGCGGAAATGCCTTGTTGATGCCAGAGGTCAGAGGAGAATGGCCAGACTGGTTCGAGCTGATAGAAGGGCAACAGTGACTCAAATAACCACCCGTTACAACCAAGGTGGGCAGAAGAGCATCTCTGAACGCACAGTACGTCGAACTTTGAGGCAGATGGGCTACAGCAGCAGAAGACCACACCGGGTGCCACTCCTTTCAGCTAAGAACAGGAAACTGAGGCTACAATTTGCACAAGCTCATCGAAATTGGACAATAGAAGATTGGAAAAACGTTGCCTGGTCTGATGAGTCTCGATTTCTGCTGCGACATTCGGATGGTAGGGTCAGAATTTGGCGTCTACAACATGAAAGCATGGATCCATCCTGCCTTGTATCAACGGTTCAGGCTGGTGGTGGTGGTGTCATGGTGTGGGGAATATTTTCTTGGCACTCTTTGGGCCCCTTGGTACCAATTGAGCATCGTTGCAACGCCACAGCCTACCTGAGTATTGTTGCTGACCATGTCCATCCCTTTATGACCACAATGTACCCAACTTCTAATGGCTACTTTCAGCAGGATAATTCGCCATGTCATAAAGCTGGAATCATCTCAGACTGGTTTCTTGAACATGACAATAAGTTCGCTGTACTCAAATGGCCTCCACAGTCACCAGATCTCAATCCAATAGAGCATCTTTGGGATGTGGTGGAACGGGAGATTCGCATCATGGATGTGCAGCCGACAAATCTGCGGCAACTGTGTGATGCCATCATGTCAATATGGACCAAACTCCCTGAGGAATGCTTCCAGCACCTTGTTGAATCTATGCCACGAAGAATTGAGGCAGTTCTGAAGGCAAAAGGGGGTCCAACCCATTACTAACATGGGGTACCTAATAAAGTGGCCGGTGAGTGTATATATATATATATATATATATTATGTGGGATAAAATACCAAATAGACTCTGGTGAATTGACACAATTCTTTTCCCAGTTCACTTTGAAAGTATTATTAACATTAAAAAAAATCCAACATGTCAAAACCTCCAAAACTTTTTTTTTAACCACATAAAACATGTTTCTTCAGATCCAAAAAAAAATAAAAATCTTAAACAATAAACTATTGATTTGTTTACAGGTATTATCATGGACAAATAGCGAGAATGATGGATAAGTCGAGCGAGACCTTCAGCTTTAATTAAAAGAACTCTACCAAGGAAAGACAAATTTTTGTTTTTTGTCCATTTTTTTTTTAATAAGAAATAGTTTTTGAGATTGTTTCAACTATATATTCAAATCCACCACCACCAACAACAACAACAATATGTGTTTATAAACAGCTGGGCAATTCACATGCCTCTCCATAGAGAGCTGTACATGCCATCTAGTGGTTACACCATGATTCTACACCTTTTCTCTATACTGTAACCAGATGGTGCTAATTTTCTTCAAAAAAAATTTTTTTCTGAAGGCCTAGACTCTATATTAAACTAAAAAAAAAAATATATATATATATATATATATATATATATATATATATATATATATATATACTATAAATATATATATAGAAAAAAATATATATATAGGCCTACTATTTTTCTAGAAAAATAGTATATATATTTTCCATGGGAAAAATAAACCATAATTATTGCATAAATATTAAATTAAATTAAATTGTCTCAAAATACTAAATTAAAAAGAATAAATATTATAGAACAAAAATAAATTGCATTGGTTTTACTGGGATGGAGAATGTTTCATTTTTAGGTGTCCGGTCACTTTTGACCGGGAAGATAACAAGTGTGACTCCGAAACGAAGAGCACCCGAGGGTTAATAGAGAATTCAACAATATTATAATAATATGGATTTCTTCACCACGACTACTAACCAGTTTGATGACGCATTAGTGACACTGAAAGCTGATTGGACTTGATGGATATGCGGGAAAAGGCTAATTTAATTAACAAAATGATTCCCGACGGATTTACTAATAAAACTATTCTGCACGAATCTCATATTCAAGACATGTCAACATTAAATCTGTAACTATTTATTAAATCAGATTCGATGTGCTCATGCACTCTGCCCATGTGCGCGCGCGTGTACGTGTTATGTTACGTGCACATGTGACTCGAATTTCAGTTGCTATAGTTACGCGTTTTATGAATTGTGCATTTATTTACACTTGAACCGATCGCTTTCTGTTGGTTGAGAGACGAGGCGAATAAACAGACTTGCAGAGGATTTTCTGTGCGAAACTTGAGACTTTAAAGTCGTTTTCTGGAAACAGCAACAGCGGAGAGGAGACTTTTCTTCAAGACAAACATCGGAGGATATATCTTTACACAACTTTATATATAACTTTATATAACTTTAGTTTTATTATTGAAAGTATCATAATTTCTGCGAATACTTTTCATTTTATTGTTCTTTTCTTATTTTAGGAGTTAATTTAATTTTTTTATTTTTTTTATTGTTTATTTTTAGGAGAATATTTCTGAGATTTGTGCTTTATTGTATTGTATTTTGTGTTGTAATTTGTATTGTTTTATTGCAGCTTGGAGGAGGTCGATGGCTGATAGAGGAGGTGAGTGCTTCAGTTTTTCATGTATGGTTTATGGTGTGATGTTGTACAATGACTGACTACATTAATGTGAAGAACCCATTTGATCACATTTATTTGATTCCTTGCATGTGAAATAAACTTTTGGATTTTAAACTGAAGTAATCATTGGTAATTGACCACTGACATTGATTATTATTATTATTATTAACACATTACTTATGTGATGTGTAATATTTTCCATCCTCAGGCCGCCCCAGACCCCGGAGAGCTGCTTTCTCTCAGACGGCTGGTCAGGAGGTTTGGAGACCCGGTTCTGATGACCGTGATCAGGATCCGCTGCCAGACCCGACACAGATCCGGGATCTTCCTGGATATTTAACATCTCTCTCTTCTGAGTTTTCTGTGTCTGTGTCCCCAGGTCAGGTTCACTGGACGAGTGTGAAGCAGAACCCAGATGACGGACGTCCGTCCACTTCATCTACACACTCTCGCAGAGGTCAGAATAGCCTTATAACAAAGAAGTAAAGGCTTAGTTTCTGTTTTTATTTTTAATGACTGATTTGTCATTGAAAATAGAAAGTTGAACCAACTAAAGTAACGGTAACACTTTATTTTGATGGTCCCTTTTGAACATTCTGTTGACTATAAGTACATTTTCAACCAGTCATGTCAACTTATTCTAACCCTACCAGTCTACTAATACTCTACTAATACTCTCCTAATACTCTCCTGATACTCTACTAATACTCTCCTAATACTCTCCTGATACTCTCCTGATACTCTACTGATACTCTACTAATACTCTCCTGATACTCTCCTGATACTCTCCTGATACTCTACTAATACTCTCCTGATACTCTCCTGATACTCTACTGATACTCTACTAATACTCTACTAATACTCTACTAATACTCTCCTGATACTCTCCTGATACTCTAGTGAGAGTTAGTGGACATGTAGGTGCAATGTGTATTTAATAGACAACTGAATGTCTTAAAGGGACCAGAGTAAAGTGAAACCAAAGTAACAATATGATGTGACCACTGACATTAATTATTAATATTATTAAACAAAAACAGTGTTTGATGTGTGAAATGTTCATCCTCAGGCGGCTCCAGGTCCTGGGGAACTGCTTCCACAGATTCTTCTCTGGGCATCCCGTCGTCCTCAGCTTTGTCCCTCTCTGTGGTCCGTGTGTTGAGGAGGTGTAGAGAGTCGTTGAGTCTGAGCAGCCGAGGCTCCTACAGCGTCGAGTGGAGGCGGAGTGGCGATGGATCGGAGAGCCCAAACCAACAGGGTTTGTCCAGGTCCGTTAGCCTCGAAGCGTTTCTGTGTTCTCCGCTGCCGGGTCAAGTTTCTGTCGAGCCACCAGAGACTCCAGAGACTGGCCGAACTGCTCAGGGTGCCGTGGAGGCTTCTCCAGCGAACAAGAGCTCAACAGGTGACACTGAGGAAACTCTACACATACAGATTTTGCTCTTTCATGCATAACTGAGTCAATTTTTTAACGTTAATGTCCGCTCACATTTACTGAAATTAAAAATTTTGCTGAAATTTTCTTCCTGATTTAAAAAAAAACAAAAACAAACAAAACAAAACAGGGAAACCTAATTATATATATATATATATATATATATATATATATTAATTGCAGATTTTGCTCTTTCATGCATAACTGAGTCAAGTTTTTAACGTTAATGTCCATAAAAATTTCATAAATTTTGCTGAAATTTTCTTCCTGATTTAAAAAACAACAACATAGGGAAACCTAATTATTTACACACACACACACACATATATATACTGTATATATTAATTGGATGTTCATCTAACATTTTCAGAACATTTTGCAAACATTCAAAAGTAACGTTCACATAATGCAAATTATTAAAATATAATGTGCCTTTAAAAGATAAAACATTTTTGAAACGTTCAGGGAACATTTAGAAATAATGTTTTCTCAGTTTAATGTGAATGTGAGCAAAACGTTCTCAATAAGACACACACCAGAAACACACGCACAGAAAGCCAGAAAACGATCCAGAAAATAATTTCACCACTTATTTCTAATTATTATTTTTTTAGATAAGACTTTAACAGTAAAATGTAAGTTATGTCATTATATGATTGCTTAATTTGACATCAGAGATGTGTCTAATAGTTGTTTTCAATGGTTCACTTCAGGAAAAGCTCCAGACCGCAGGAAGAGGAGAAGAGCTGGTGGTTTCAGGCTCTGGAAGGCGATGAAGTGTGTTTTCTGCTGCTGTTCCTGCAGTGTTGGGAATGTTGTGGAGCCTTTTGTTGATCCTGAACCATCATCACCTGCTCCAGATCACTCCGGCGTCGAGCCAAATGACGGTCAGTCCACACTGGCACACATTTTTCTAACAGTGTCTTATAAATAAGGCTTGTCTTTAGAGAATATTAATATTATTTTCTCGACCCGCACTGATATTTCAAATAAAACAATGGATCTAGCAAGCTAATACTTTTCTCCTATTTTTCAGAGTCCTTTGAGTCTCTCTATAACGTGGATAGGATGATTGGATCCGGAGGATTTGGCAGGGTGTTTCTGGGAACACGCAAGTTTGATGGCAAAAAGGTCAATCTCACTGAACTGTACAAACATTTTGCTCTTGCAAAACACATTTAAAACAATTTACAGATGGTTTAATACTTAGTGCCGTCAGGCGCTTGAATACCGTTACTGGTATTGAAACTGTTTTTGTTTGTTTTGCAGGTTGCCATCAAGCGGATGAGCAAGATCGACAACAACCGCTATCTTGATATTGTAAGTTGGCCAAAGCCTGAGTGTGTGTTGAGTTGTTTAAGTGCAGATGACAGTAGATAAGGTGTAAATGTGGGAACTTTGAGCTGAAAAGGCTCTTTTGGCTTGATATTTTTACCCAGCTAACCTTCTGTCTGCTACTCCTCTCTAGCCCGGGCATCCCGAACCTCTGGTGACAGAAGTGGCGCTGCTGATGATGATGAGGCGAGAACCCGTAAGCCCCTTCGTCATCCGACTCTACGAGTGGTTTGAACATCCGAGAGAATTCACTCTGGTTATGGAGTATCCTGATCCCTGCGAGAGCTTGCTGGACTTCATCAATCGTCATCACGGAGTGTCTGAACCAACAGCACGGGTCATCATGAGACAGGCTGTGCTGGCAGTGCAACACTGCATCGAGCGCGGGGTTTTCCACAATGACATTCATGCGCAGAACTTCCTGTTGAAGAAAACCCGGTACAGCTCAAGCTGATAGACTTTGGGTGCGGTCAGCTGTTTAGTAGCGACGGCTACGACAGCAAAATATACATCGGTGAGCATTCTGGGAGTGTGGAAACCTGAATGCAGTGATTTCATAATTATTTGATGCTGTGAAAGAAAAAGCTCAACAATGTGCAAATGTCTTGCTTACAGGATTACCGAGTTACTGCCCACCTGAAGTCTTGACAGAGCCTCGGTTCCACGCCGTCCCAGCAAACGTCTGGGCTCTAGGAGTGTTGCTGTACCAGATGGTGAACGCGTGCGCTCCTTTTCACGCGAGAAGAGAAATCACACTCGCCAAAGTTACATTTCTGAACCGCAGCTTATCCAGAAGTGAGTGAATAATATTGATAACATTGATAAACACACACAGAAAGCAAAGGCTTTGACCAGAAACAGTTAAAGGTGAAGTATGGAAGTGGTTTTATAGCTCAACGTATAGCGAGAGTTTGGGGCGAGAGCCATGGGGAATGAAATGCAGCTTTAGTTACAGACGTGAAAGATTAAACCTTCAAAGATTAAACTGGTCATGAACACGTCAACGTGAAAAGGCACATTTTCATAAAGACAAATGCAACACAACTAAAAGTGTTACTAATATGTCGGGCCTGAAACATGCCTTCACGAGAACCAGTAAGAGCCGCGTTTGAGATGTTTTAGTCGGGGAGACGCGATGCTCGGAAGGGGCCTTTGCAAGGTTTTGTGAAAATATGCTTTATGGGCTCTATGCACGGCGTTATTTCCGGTGAAGGATTAGGGATGCTCGATAACTTCCGCCGATCATAGAGTCCAATGCAATACCGAGAATTTATATTGAATTTTATACTCCATGGTTATAATAAAGAAACGTTAGTCACAAAAACAGATAAAACAGACACCCCTCGTTGTAAATGCTTTTTTTAAAAATTATATTAAATACACATAACTGTATATAAAATTACATCTAAACGTATGTACGTTTCGTTTCAAAGACGGGAGGACAGTAAATATTGAAGACTCTGCCATAATCCCGTTTTCTCCGGTTCTCCTCCGCTTTAATCTACACAACCGGAAATAGACGAGCATCCTTGCGTCAAATGCGGAACTTATGCGTGCATATAGCCCATTTTGTCATTTATTTCACTCACTGTTACTAGTGTCGCAGAAACGACATACTTCACTTTTAAACTAAAGATAAGGAACATTTGAATCATGTTTTAGATGCTGTGTTCATAGATGCCAGGTCACATGGTCATGACTAACCAGCTCTCTCCTTATTCAAATGTGTACAGAGTGCAGGGATCTGATTAGCCAGTGTCTGTCCCGGGATCCAACTAAACGGCCCACGTTAGAGCAGATGTTACAGCATAAATGGATCAGTAATGATCGACAGTAGATTGGAGAAGTTCAGGAGATTCACTCGATCAGTTTCAGGTGTGAGGAAGTGGAACAGACAGAGGAGGATTATTATCTTTTGCCTGAAATTGACATTTTCAAGTTTGTGTTCATTGTAATGTTCTTGTAATAGTCAAGTCAGCTTCATTTATATAGCGCTTTATCCTAGACAGATTGTTTTAAAGCAGCTTGACGGTAGTAAACAGGAAAATAACAGAATCAGTGATGCAATTCAATTCTGTTCTAGCTCTAAAAAATCATTCATGAGTTGACTTGTTCATATAATCTTTGTGTTGGACAGGAAATAACATCCTTGCTGAGAGCTCTGAGCTCGAGACTCGACCCGAAGCCTGAAGTCCGACACCATCCTGACAGAAACTCAGAGCCGGTCCACGTCTGAGCGAGAACATGAGAGACTGCAAGACTGGAAGAAGTCATCGAGTCCTCACACACACACTTTTGATTCGTTTCAAACGTCAAGACGAGTCATCTTTATTTATATAGGGCCTTATTTATGACCAATCTGTATATATGACCAGTCTGTATATGGGCCAAAGACTAGACATTTGTGTCCGCATCACATTTAATTTACAAAAGTAATTTTATATAAATAACCCTGTTATACTGCAGGGCTGCTGAATGCTTCATTACGGAGGCGTATTGCACTGGAAGAAAAAAAAAATCTACTCTGTTTTTATGAATTAACAAGTTAATTATCTCAGATTTACGAGATATTAATTAAAGAGTTAATGTTTCATGAGAAAAAAAAGGTTTGCTCTGTTTTTCTGCATTAAAAAAATGTCCTTGAAAAATTAACTCGTTAATTCAGAAAAACAGAGCAAAAACTTTTTTCCATGAAAAATTAACTCTTTAATTCAGAAAAACAGAGTTAAAACTTTTTTTCCATGAAAAATTATCTCGTAATTCTGAGATAATTAACTTACTAAATAATTAGTAAATAATAAATAAATTAATACATTATTTCCAAACAATTATTTTCAGGGAAACGCACGGCTTAAGTAGTTTCAGGCAGGTTTGACCGCATTACAGCTCCATATCACTGCGCGTCGTTAACTGTAATAACAGAAAATAGGAGACAATTCATAACGAGAGAAAACATGCAGCCCCATGCGCTCGATCTGCGATTTTCAATGTCTAACTTCAAAATCAATGGACACATACAGTTTAATTTTAATAAATAGTTAGTTAGTTGGTAGTTTATTTTGAACATGTAGAAAACATAAAATAAAATAAAAAATATACAAACATGAATTCATTTATAAAAATAAAATAATAGTTATATAAGGTAATGTGCTTCTCAGCACATACTTCCAAAATTAATATAGTTTATTCAAATTAGCAATTCCCATGCTCAAAAAGGAGTAGGAAGAAGTTCATTAAAAACTTTTCAGGTCCTACCATTCCTCTATTTTTTATCATTTAGTTAAATACAAAACAATTTGACGCTTCTCTTATACATACGTCTTTACATAGACTGTATATCAACTGACCTACTGTTCACATAAACCCATTCATTCACATAGAAACAAATGCATACCTACATGCATGCATGCAATACTATACTATTGTACAATACTATCGCCTCGAGGCCTTTTCATATTCATTTAATATCTTCAGTTTAAATAGTTTTTTGAATTCACTCATGGTTGTACATGATTTCATCTCATCAAATAAAGTGTGTAATCCTATCTATAATAGACTAAATAGAACATTAATCTGAATAGGCTATGTAAATAAATGATTAGTCCTGCTGCACGGATTTTCGTAATTATTCGAGATAATAACAAATATAACAAATAAATAAATACTGATAGGCTTACTTATTAAATGGCTTTGTGTCTTTTATTTATTGGGCTGTCTACTGTCAATTATAGAAAACAAGAATGAATAAATTGATTAAAACGAATTTAATTAATAAATAATTAATAATATTGACACACATGTTTCTCAGTCTCATTATTTCAACATCTCTCTCTGTCTCTCTCTCTCTCTAATAACTGCATTAATAACTGTATAAATCCAGGTCACGCTTAGTTCTACTAAGGCCAGTTATGAATGTAATTTGATACTTATGACTGATCATGCCCAATCATGTTCAGTCTGTGTTTACGACCTACAGTCAATGGAAACAGTCGGTCTTCGAATATTTCAGTGTGTCCCCCATCATTAGTCTGCTATCAGTGGCTCAAACCTCCGTAACTAACTCTAAAATGACGTTTTGGAATTAGCAACGGAGGCATGGGATTAGATGTGAATTTAGTCCTACATACAAGAGCGTTTTGACAAAAACTTGACAAACGTCTTGATAATATGCATCATCTGAACAATGTTTTGAGGTGTGGTAACTGTAGTATAAGCGGAATTATTGATTTAAGGCCGTTGAACTATCCGAAAAATAACTCGAGACCGCATTACCACCTCGGGTGTGCATTATTTTACTAATAATTCAACGGCCTGTCGTCAATTATTCCTTACTTAAATGCAAGTAAAGTGTCTTCCTTAAAGGTGACGTATTATGCCCCTTTTCAAAAGATGTAATGTAAGTCTATGGTGTCCCCAGGCCCAGAATGTGTGTGTGAGTTCAGCTCAAAATCCCCCCAGATCATTAATTATAGCTCGTCAAATTTGCCTCTTTTTGGGAGTGAGCAAAAACACGTCATTCAGTGAAATGCCACAAAACACTTCTATTGTACGATTTTTTTTTAAAATAAGCAGATGTTGTGAATAATTGTGATGAACTTATACAGTATAATGAAACAGTAATGGATCTGTGCGCTAGTTCTTAAAGTGAACGAAGCTATGTGTCTGTCATTAATTTTGTTGTCAAAACAACATAATAATAATAATAATAATGTTTATTTTCTATAGCGCCTTTCAAGAACCCAAGGTCGCTTCACAATGCAATACAAATAACAGACAAACAGATGGGAACAAGCAAACACTAATTGACATGAATCAAAGAAAAAACATTTTGTACTAGTTATCCGAATATACAGTTACCACAAAGTAAGTAGAAAAAAGAGCTGAGAAAGTGAAGAAAAAGTGAAAACAATGTTGAGGATGCTTATTTATTGGGATGCATATTTATTAAGTCATTAATTACTCACCCCCATGCTGTACCAACCCCGTAAGACCTTCGTTCGTCTTCGGAACACAAATGAAGATATTTTTGATTAAATTTGAGAGCTGTATAACTACCACATTGGCTCCTAAGGGACTGCCTCTTGACGGCCCAGAAAGTCAATGAAGAAAATGTTTAAATATCCCAAGTGACTACCGTGGCTCAACTATATGTTTATCAAGCGACGCGAATACTTTTTGTGCGAAAAAACAAACAAAAATAACAAGTTTATTCGACTATTTCTTTTCTTCCTTGTAGGCCAGAACGAGACTTCCTTAGATTTCCACGACGCATGCGCGAGATTTGCGATCTGCTCACACCAGCTTACACTACTTCAGATCGCAATTCTCGCGCATGCGTCGTGGAAATCTAAGGAAGTCTCGTTCTGGCCTACAAGAAAAGAAATAGTCGAATAAACTCGTTATTTTTGTTTGTTTTTTCGCACAAAAAGTATTCGCGTCGCTTGATAAACATAT